GTGTGGTCTCCATTCTGCTTGTTGGATTGGAGTTAAAGTCATGAGAAAAACATGGTCAGGGCTCTGTAATTTAAGTAAACAATGGCAGGGGAACTTCTGCAGACACAGGTAGGGCCCCAGCTGAAATGTGCTGATTTGAGCAATAATAGGCTGCTATTCTGTAACTGTGTAGTAACCTTTGGCCTAAATCAGAGGCTTGATGCAATCTTTCAGCAATATTGCCATGGCAACATTTCTGCATAACCTGTTTCTGCAAAATATCATTCAATAGTTAAACACAGAAACTGTGTATGTGTTAGCATGAATTTACTTTATTTACAATACAAACATAAGCGTAGATATATTGAGACCAATAAAAAGACTGCTGTTTTGAAAGCAGTAGTCTTTTTATTGGTCTTAATTTGTCTTTAGAAAGGATTAATCAAGGAGGATATGTAGACTAAAGTAGATGTCAGTGCATAGAATACCATCACTGTGCATTAGATTTACGGGTACTTCACTCTATAGACTAATGCTAATTCATAAGAAAAACACACAGTTATCAAAAATTTCTGGTTCTTTTTCATTGGCGTCTGACAGCACACAGCTTCTGAGGTGAAGGAGAGAGTATGAAGCCCACAACTGGTGTCAGGTCCAGTTCATCCTCTGAAACTCCAGGAGGGGGCGTGAATCGAAAGTGCTGAAGGAGAGACGTGAAGAACAGGAAGATCTCTATTCTGGCCAGACCTTCTCCGAGACACACCCTGCGCCCTGCAAGGACAGAGGTGAAAATAGTCTTAGGTATATGCAAGCGTAACATATTTGTTTATTTGGGGGTTTTTTAATGGCACCTGCAGAAAATGGCATGAAGGCATCTCTCCTGACAAATTTACCCTCCTGATCAAGGAAATGAGAAGGGGTAAAAGTAAACGGGTTCTCCCATTCACTCTCATCGTATAGGACTGAAGTGAGAAGGGGAAATACAGTAGTTCCCTGTAGCAGAAGTAAAGCATAATGTTCAAAATGTAAGTTAATATATAACAAAGAAAGAAAAACGAATTTGTGTTCATTGGAATAAATGTTAGCAGCAAACCTCTTTGATAAAATAGCCATGAAGGGAAACATCTCTGCTGGTTCTGTGAGGAATAGCCATGGGAACAAGGTTGCAAAGTCTTTGTGACTCATGGATAACAGCATCAGTGTACGGCAGGTTCTTTCTGTCCTCGACACAAACTTGTCGACTTCCAACCACCCTGTTCAGCTCTTCCAGAACCTGGTCTGCATGTAAATGAAATATAAATCAAATTTAACAATATGTGACCTTTTTTTAAGTTCATGTAAATTGAAACAAGCCTGGCGAGGAATTTCTGCACCTTGGATATGAGGGTACTTGGCCATGTACAGCAGACACCACTGAAGTGTATTTCCTGTGGTATCGGTTCCAGCTGCAAACAGATTTATCACACTGTAGAGCAGGTTATCATCATGATAGTGTGAATCCTTGATTTCAGACTTCTAGCACGACATATGGAGAAGAGTAAATGCCGTTAATGAACAACATTAACAGTATAGGACTGGAGTGACCGCTGATACCTCACCTCCAGTTTTTGCCTATGATTCAGAAACGCATCAACAAAGCATCTGCACATCTCAGGGTTGAAAGTCTCTTTAAGGTTTCCTATGATCCTTTTCATCTCCGCCTTGTTGTCTTCAACATTTTTCATCAAATCCCTCCAGTCTTTAAGAAATGGACCCAGCCACGGAACTATGTTGTATATCTGTTAGAGTGACCAATACAAATAAATTATAGCCAGAAAACAACTATGAAAATCATGAGCCCCAGTTGAGCCTCATTTACTTATTATTGTTTGAACATGGGTTTCAAATTTTGACATATTCATCCTGATGCTGATAATCTTGGAATATTTGCCATTTTCGTTATGTTTGAAGAGGTGTAATGATGCTTTTCTACACATTGTTGTGCTATTAATTGAACATGTTTGTCTTGTTAACATTTAAATGAATTCATTAGACAAATAAGGAAAATCTTACAATTTCTAATTTCAGAAGAAATGTATATCTGTACTGATTTTCCATGTCAGCATTAAATTATATAAGTACCAGAAGGGAAGCTGAGCCCGTCAGACGGATGGACTCATTGTCTCTTTCCACCATAGCTTGGAAGACAGGATCTTTGTATTCAAACCTCTTTCCAAACATTATAGCTGATATAATGTTTGAAGCAGCATAAACTAGTGTCTGCCTATTGTTGAAGGCTTTCCCTGTAATAAAAAATAGTTAGAAATAATTAGATATAAAATATATAATGAACTGCCACACATTATAAATACCTCAGTTTAGGCTCACTTTGAGATAATGTAGCATTAATGTCATACTGGCTGTTCTGACTCAGTGTTAAGGTTACTTTTTTTTTTCAACTAAAGTAGGATTATTGTGAAGTGTTGGACATCATAACCCAAAAATGTAAATGTATTGTTAGTTGAACAAAATAATGTTAATATCCACTCACTGACCATTTTATTGGGCACGCCTGTTCAACTGCTTGTCAACACAACAATCTCACTGTCATTTAAGCATGTAGACATGGTCAAGAAGACCTGCTGAGGTTCAAAATGAGCATCAGAATGAGGATGAAGGATGACATTTTTACTCTGATTTTCCAGCAAAACCTACTCAAGGGTTTACAAAAAAATTGTCAAAAAAAAGAAAATATCCAGCAAACAACAGTTCTCAAACTGCTAAGAGGTGGGCAATGGTAACTCACAAAGCCACGTGTTGCAAACAAGGTATGCAGAAGAGCATCTCTGAATGCACAACATGTTGAACATTGAAGCAGATGGGCTAACAGCGAGAGATGGGCACACAAGGTGTCACTCCTGTCAGATAAGAACAGGAAAGTAAGGCTACAGATTGCACAGACAGTTTGAGTACAGTTCCCTGTACTCAAATGCTCTTCACAGTCAACAGATCAAAGTCCAATAGAGAGTGCCTTTGGGATGTGGGATTTAAATCCACAATGTGAAGCTGGCAAATCTACAACAGTGAACCGTTAATGACCAAAATCTGTGAAATGTTTCCAGCACCTTGTTGAATCTGTGCCATGATGAGTTAAACCACTTCTGAGCCCAAAATCGTCTCTAACCCAGTACGAGCATAGTGTACCTAATGAAATGGCCGTGGGTATATTTATATTCCTCTCTGCTAAGGTTACTAAGTATTTTGTTTATTGAGTCACTTGTTTAACCAATGTGATTGTGTTTGAACTTGTCAAATTGTTCAGTAGAGCTCATGTTACCTTGATGCTGTTTAAATTCTTGGATCAGATAGTGACATTCCTCAATGATTTTTCCCTCACTAATCCTCTTGCCCATTCCAAAATCTTTCAGGGTACTTAAAGCAAAGCGCCTCATTTCCTTCCACGAGTCACCATTGGAAAATAGTATTCCTGGAAGCAGATAAAACTGTCTTTTTAACAAGAAGAAAATGAGAAAATAAATAAAGTCACTAACTCAAACAGGATTTTCTTACCATGTCCTTTGTTAAAGTCATAGAAGACGGGCGTGACTTCTCTGTTTCCAAACTCTTCAGCATGGTTTACTAGAGCCTCTTTGACTGCCCTGTAACCTGCTATGACTATGACCTTCTTTAGTCCAAAGTAGACTGTAAACACTGGTCCATATGTTTTAGAAAGCTGAACAGAAATCATGTGCACATAGGTGAGACTCATAATCCGAAACAACAATGACAAAATTGTATTGTCTAAGATTTTTTTTTTTTTAAAGTTTCTCACATCAAAGAGAGATTTGTCGAGCCTCTTGAGATCGACCTGCAGCAGGTTACCGAGCAGAAGAAAAGGTCTGGGTCCTGGAGGCTCTCTCCTTTCTTTAGAGCTGAAGCTGGATAAAAGAATCTGAATGATCAACAGGCCAATGATGACCCCCAAAAGCAAAACGGAAATGGAGGACTTAAAAAGCTCTTCAAGCATGATCCTGGAAGTTTCCTTTTCTGCTTTTCAGAAACAAACACTTTCACAAGTGTTCTAACACTGAGTGTAAAGCACTCCCCACTGAAACGCCAGGCAGCAAGTCGGCATGTCAGAACAAGAATTTCCTGTTTTGCAAATTTTGCCCCACACTAACGCAGGTGACGTTACAGACTAGACCAAACTCACCAGTCAC